TACAAATCATGTTGTTATATTCCTAGACTTTCACTCAACTAAACAGGGACTGCAATTGGTTGATTCTTGGTCACGTGGCCTTGACTAAAATCAAATGTATCTCGATCGTGATACAGTAAGCAATGTACCCCGCTAGGGCTACATTACAGCACATGATCAAAGCACGGTGGAAAGTGGCGTGATAGAAGGCGGGAAAAATACTGCCAGGCCCTGCCAGTTTTCTTTTTCGTGAATGAACACAACAACGCAAACACGAAGCCTCAAGCTAAAAAGCAACGATTTTTACAGTTATCCCAGAAGTTCCCAGAAAAAAAACAGCAGCTAGTGGAGGAAAAAGATGCAGATAATATAAGGAAAGTACTTTGTAAATCATTCATTCAGTGATTTAGGGAATTAAATTTGTGTCTTTATAAGTACCAAGTCGACTGTTTTGGTTCGCTCCGGTTATTCTTTGGTTGCTGTTGAAGTGAAAGTCCAGAAATATAACAAAACACTTAATTTCAGGTCCCTTGGGAAATTAGTTCGTTTTGTTTCCCTCGGGATCTGACATTAAGTGTTTACTATTACCTGTACCAATATCCAATATCATCGTAGTCAGGAAAGAGGAAAGGGCGATCTTTACAGATTATCAGTAGATTCTAACTTGATATTATCTCTATAATATCCAATATCACTGCAGTCAGGAAAGAGGAAGGGGAATCTATAAATAGACTCTTAGTAGATTCTAACGTGATATTATCTCAATAATCCAATATCACCGCAGTCATGCAGGAAAGAGGAAAAGGATATCTTAATAGACTCTAGTAGATTCTAACTTGATATTATAGTGGTAATATCCAATGTCACCGCAGTCAGGAAAGAAGAAAGGGAGATCTAAATGGACTCTTAGTAGTAGATTCTAACGTGATATTAGTATAGATAATACCATGATTTGTAGTGATATTTGGCATAAATACCAAGAGTGATATTCCTTAATTTGAGACAATTTTGAAATATCACGATGGTATTTATGCCAAATATCACTACAAATCATGGTATTACCTACACTAATATCACGTTAGAATCTACTACTAAGAGTCTGTTTAGATCTCCCTTTCCTCTTTCCTGACTGCGGTGATATTGGTTATTATCGCGATTTTATAATTATACTACTACATGAGAAATTTCTGCAATTTGATTGGCTTAGTGCACAGAGATTTCAGCTTAATTTGAAATATCTACATGTGAAAATTTCAAACCTTTCGTGGCTAGTAGTGGAAACAAATAATGGCATGATTTGTGCGTGATATTTGGAATAAATACCAGTCGTGATATTTGAAAATTGTCTAAATTTCACACGCCTAACGGCTCGTGAAATTACGTATAACAAGTCAATGTCGTAGAAGGCCTAAATGTAATAATAAATGACCCTAAATGTAATAAAGTCCTAAATGTAATAAAATTTTGTCCTAAATGTAATAAAGTCCTAAATGTAATAACAATTTGCCCTAAATGTAATAAACTCTTAATTCCCTGGTTTTGCACTGCGCATCTCTTACTGCGCATAACAAGATGGCCGCCGTAAAAAGGAGCATTTGAAGTAACATTATTAAAATGACGTTGACTGAAGAAAAACGCTATTGGAATTTTTGCAGAGGTGAGACTCAATGTGTTGGGAATGTGCATAACGTAAACAGTACGCGTGTTCCTGAGTTCGACTTCCTCACGGAGAACCTCGATAGTGGATGTTTAACTTGTGCTTACTCACTTTGATTTTCATTTAAACGCTTTCTTTATCACATTGTGTCCTAAATGTGATATCTCGATGTAAATTCTGTAAAAAAGGATTTTTTAATACCTTCTCCCCCCTTTCACATACATTCTATTTTGAAACTCGCAGTCCTCTCCCAAAAATCGAAGAAAATGCATTTGGTACGCACTTTCTGCAGCTCTACCCCAAAAACGAGTTCGGTGACCCCCATTTTTTATCTCATGATTTTAATAAGGACAGTGATTCCTTTCGATGAGAAAAAGATTGGCACAAATCTATGTTCAGTTTTTGGGCAATTTTACTAAATTGTACGGATTGAGCTATCACGGGTCGAATAGCGCGTGTCCAATTCAATTCTATTTTGGAGTTTAAAGTAAAAACAAGCGCATTAAAAGGCATTTTTCTTGTATGTAAGTGGATAAACAATACATTAAAGTCAAATTCTGTGCGATACCACATGCATCATCGAAAAAATCTCTCCTTTTTGTCTAGTTTTGGGCTGCGTGCGGTTTTTGTCAAAGGGTCCAAAATAGCCGTATTTGTCAGCATTGTGACGTCAAAACGAGCACGGTGACTCCCACTTTTTATTACTTTTTCATCGTCTTCCTGACTTGTTACATCAGTGTACCAAGTTTCATCTACAATCTATGTTAGGTTCTTTTACTAAGGAATCACCTTAAGTTGCCAATTACAGTAATTACTCGAATAAGCGCCTCCCTCAAATAAGCGCTGCATTTTGGGGGAGAGTTAATTAGCGCCACGGCGCTTATTCTTGTAAATACGGTACTAAGCGGTATGACTATGGTATTAAGCACCGCTCTCAAATGAGCGCCGCTTTTTTGTAGAAAAAAGTTAATAAGCGCCGCGGTGCTAATTCGCGTAAATTTGGTACATTTCCTTATGCACTGTGAAACTTAACGTTTACAAATAAATTGCTTGTAAACGGACAAAGTAACAGTATTTTTCTAAAAAAAGAATATTTAAACAACAGAATTGTTTTTTTGCTGCTCCCAGCTCCTCATTTGTTTATATCAGGCTATGCAAACACAGGAAAAAAGTTTTCTATTGCTTGTATTGAATTACTTGCGGAGAAAAAAGAAAAACTCTTTGTTTAGGTTACTGATTAAAAGAGAAATTCTTACCAGTCGCGAAGTCTTGTATAAGAAGCTTAATGTACGTCTAATCAGTTCTTGTTTTGCAATAAAGATGCTTTCCAAAAAGATTTTCCAAGTTTCATCCGACGAGGGAATGGGTAAGTTAAGTAAATTTGTCGAGTTTTCAACTCAAAAACGTTTTAAAATTCGTGCTTGTGTGATTAGCGCGCGAAGAGCAAAACATCTTGACTCCACACATGTTTACATACTCTCATGCAAACACATCTCTCGGCCAATCAGAGCGCGCGCGTACTATCTTTTTTTTTAGTTATAAACGTTATTATCAGCTGTGCAGTAGTCTTTAGACTTCTCGTTTTTTGTTCTTAATATTTTAGCTGATTAGATCTCTTTTCTAGAGATCCAACGTTGACAAGCAACAGGATCTTCGTCCAGGGTTTTTGCAGTAAATTTCTTTAACAAAAATGAAGTATGAAAACTTTTTAAGGCTTACAAATATTTATTTTGTCCCCTTACAAGCAATTTTTTTGCAAACGTCAAATTACACAGTGCATAAGGAAATGTACCGAAGCCTATTAAATTTTTCTCCAAAAATGCGGAGCTTATTTGAGGGCGGCGCTTAAAACCATAGTAATACCTTTAAGTATTGTATTTACACGAATAAGCGCAGCGGTGCTTATTAAATTCCCCCAAATGCGGCGCTTATTTGAGTAATTACTGTAATTTGCAACTTAAGAGTTTATTACATTTAGGACAAAATATTATTACATTTAGGACTTTATTACATTTAGGGTCGTCTATTACATTTAGGCCTTCTAAAAAGGTCACTCGTGGTATTTATGCCAAATATCATTACAGATCATGCTATTACTTATACTAATATCCAATATCATCGCAGTCAGGAAAGAGGAGGGCGGGATCTAAGTAGACTCAAGTAGTAGATATGTAGATATTTAATAGATATAGGTATACAGATAATATATATAAATATAAGTATCAGATAATATCCGACAGATGATATCCTTTCAATATCGTACTTAACTCCGATATTTCGCCGCATGAGATGAAATTTCTCTGCAGGACGAAAATTATTCGTGTCATTAAACGAAATTTCGTTTCAACGAAGGGAAATTTCGATTCGTGGAAACGAAATTTCGTTTGGGCGAGGCGAAATTTCGTCGTTCAAGCTGACTACAGAATACAGATGTAATCATAACCTCTTTGCCAAAGTATGTGTAAGCGCGATCATTACAATACTTAAAACGTGTGATTTATAAAAAAAAAGATAGCAAATGATTGCTACAATTGTTGTGGAGAGAATTTAAGACAGAACAGTGTTTTTTGACTCACATAGTTTTATTTCTTTCTCAACTTAATTTTGTTTTAAATGTCTCGCTTGCTAATAATATTTATGCAATTAGCTTAAAATTCTCTATTGCATGCTGATACTCTTATGTGTAAGGTTTCTGCCTTCTTTTAATTCGGCTTCCTCGCGCCGCTACTAGATGGTTATAAAAAAAAAAAACGTCAAACTATCTTGTATTTTACAAACATCACAAGCCTCAGCGCTGCAGAAGTTAAAAAAGGGCAGCGTCTAGTTGCTATGAAGTGACGTAATGATCCGAGTTGAGTATCTGAGTATCTATCATAGTAACACTTTTGCAACTACCGCAGCGCTCGTAAAGTACTTTAATTAATTAAAATCGTGTTTAAACCCCTGTGGAGGAAGTCTGTTTATTTTTGAGTCGATAAATGCACTTCTGACTTTCACGGGGTTCAATTTTGCATAAATTATCAAAAATTTTGTTAAGCGGGAAATCTACCTGAGGTTTGCGGGAAAAGCAACTTCTATAGCGGCGCAAGGCAAATGTTTCAAGAGTCGAGGATATGCTTACAAACCATTCACTATATCTATGCGACGAAAGGAGAAATCACTGACATGGTAGCTCTTGCAATGATAATTTTATAAATCCAGGCAAAAAATCACTTTTAAGGTGTTTGAAAAATATGGGCATGGCCTCCGAAAAACTTTATCGAAACACCTTAAATACATCACTAAGTAGCAGCCAACTAAATAGAGACTTTTTCTCGTTTTTTTTTTTTACAGGAGTTCTTCATTTTTAAGAGGCAAACGAGAGATGGCTTTAAATACGGAATACGGAAAATCTGGTCAAGGGGCACTCAAAATCTTCGAACTTGTAAGTATTTCAAGAAAAATCAAACCTTTTTTTATAGATCTAGGGTACGTTAAATTGACCTCATTCTGGAAATAGAAGTATAGAATAATTAACAATTCGGAACAATTATCGAATGAAGCTGTCGAGTACATGCAGAAATCAACTGAAAATTTGACTTGGTATTTTATAATTTATAGTACATGTTGACTATATAGCTGCAACTGTACCAGTTGTGTGAATGCTACATTCATTCACAATCGCTGAGATGGGACAAAAGCTACGACTTCGCTTAGCTTGACAAAACGGGCCACCACTGGTTTTCTTGCGAAATAACGACTGAGCAACGACTGGAGAAATTCTGAATTCATACTGATGACGTGTCACTATCTAGACCTGGGTGATACTTCTGATTGGTCGTGCCGCGAGAGAAATTTGCTTCAACCAATCAGAAGCTCTATCCACATCTAGGTAGTGAAACGTCATTAGTATGGTATTTCCGCAGTCGTTGCTCAGACGTAATTTCGATTCGCCGTGAAATCAATGGTGGCGTCGTGAATAGTCTGTTCACAGACCCTCTATTTTCTCTTAAAGTCCGCCGAGCGCGCGTAATAAAAATATAAACAGCGGGGAATTAAAGTAACGTCTGTGTACAGGCTACGTCGTGAATCGTCGGCTGTTTTTTCAAGCTATGATCATGACTTCGCCTTTTTTTTCACAGATAACTATCTGCATAGCGTTTTCATGTCTGGCTGATTTTGAACGTGAACTAGAATTGGCTAAATTTTACGACAAAATTTGCAGTGAGGTACGACTTGTTCATGGCGGTTTTCGTGATTGGCTGGGTAGTGGTCCTAGTGGTGTTCTTGGTCTTCCTGTTCAGCTTGACGGAGAAAGACTTGAATCTTGCAGTGAGTATACCGGTTTGTGTAGAAATCTACAGCCGTCATTTTTGTTTCCGTCTTAAATTTCGCAAAAGCGCTGTTAAAAGCTAAGTATGGTTAAGGCTGAGTATGATCTGAAGAATTACGGAAATCGAGGAGGGTGTTCAGTTGCGCATGCTTGTCTCTCAGCAAGTTCAGGATGTAGAGGGATGTTTACTTTGACTAGAAAATAATAGAATATCACATTCGCATTAATCCACATGCTAATTTGCGGCGAACAAGTCATGATAAATTATTATCATTATTAGTTTGGTTCCTTTTTTGTTACTACAGCTCTAGCAAAAAGAGCAGCCTCGTCCCCAGGGCTTCTCGATTGCCTTCCCTTTTTTTTTTGTTATTTTTTCCAATTTTTTTATTTTTTCCTTTCCTTTCGCTTCACATTATATATCAGCATAAATTACGTATAGTACATGCACTGAAAAATACCATTTGAAACAAAAGCTTCATAAATTACACATACAAAAAAAAAACATAAAACATAAACTGTGTTTATAAGTATTTATAAGAAAAGAGAGCAAGACCAATATTGGGAGGTTCACAATGCGAAGATGCAAGAACTAAAAGAAATATTTTAAAAAATGAATATTAAGTATTGTCAAGAGAGGATAAAGGGGACAGAGAAGGCATCTTCCATACACACCCTATTCCATAGGTAATTCGTCTCGAGTTATTTTTAACACAACAGATCTCAAAGGGGATTAGACAACAGCCAATCACATAGCGCGAATGACCCACGCTCAGAGCCACGCGTCCTTAACGAATTGACGCAGAACAAAATGGCGGAAGATAGGGAAAGCGATATTACTATTCGTTTTGTCGACGAAAACGACCACAGAGAGATTTCTGCTAAAACAGTGTCGGCGAAACGGAAATTAAAAAAGAATCGCCCTTCCTCTCTTGTATATATATAGAGCTAATAGTACAGCAGGGAAATCCTTAACACACTGAATATTCTCTCAGGATCATTTATAATTTACAGTTTGAAGAGAGCAATTTCTGGTTTGATATTTATTCTTTTATTAGTCTTTTATTATTCAAATAACACCTGGCGTCCTACTTGCTTTATTGTACAAACGACCGGTTTCAACAGACCGGCGAACTTTCTCATTTTATTAAAGCAATGAGGTTACTACAACTTCGAGTTAAACTGATTTCGCGGGTTGTCAAAGAGTCTAGTGATTCCCTTTTCCCAGGTGAGCGCCGACTCATTTCGCGTCAATATTCAGGAATGCTCTCGATCTCTTTACGCTTTCATTGCCTTTCGCCCGACATGTTTTGCACGGCCTTTAGTCCTGCGAAGCCTCCACGAAACATCCACGCAGCGCGCGAGGTAACTTTATCCCTATTCTAAAAATAACTCGAGACGAATTACCTATGGAAAAGGGTGTGTATGGGGGATGCCTTCTCTGTCCCCTTTATCCTCTCTTGATATTGTACGTTATGTATTAGGCGGCAAAAACGTGTTCAATTTATGTATGTTGGAAAGAGGGATTAAGAAAGTATCGAAATAAATGCATCCCATTTATCATAATGTTTTGTTGAAGAACATCATTTTTCCTAGCAATAGTAATTTGTAGGTAGCTTTCAATTAAGCCTTAAAAACGTCAAGTGATGGTTCTTTTTTATCTAATTTGAACCTAAAAGAATTTTGCTAATAAAAAGGCTCGATGATTGATTATCATAAAATCTTTATTGGTATTGAATTTACCAAGAAAGACACTTGGAAATGAAATATCCTTTACTTCACTGTTACTGAAGGGTTACCCATGATAAAACTTCTTTCTAAAACATATCCACTACTTCGCAAAAGATCGATGGCCAGGGGATTCCACTTCATTTTTAACAGAACGTGCCGTGAGGGGAGTCCTCAATTTTGAAAACAAACAGTTCATCATTTGTGTGGGCAATAAAGTAACTATCTATTTCTCATCCGGAGAAACCTGAAAAGGCAAAGAGTATATATATTTTTGGCCACTTACACAAAAGGCTTGGTTCTAGGATCTTATTTGTCTTCCCATTTGGCATTAGCAGTAGGCGGGGTTAATTTAAGGGAACAAAATTCTTTGTACACAGTAAACGGATGTTAAGAATATCCATCATTTCACCTTTTACTGACAAAAAAATAAGAGCTTTCGTTCAACAGTGATGGTGGAGTATCGTAAGCGCATTGCCATTAAAACCTCCATCGGCTATAACTTTGCCTACATTCATCATCAATACCCATTCTGTTCAGTTCCTCTTTGATCTGGTCAAAGAAGAATATCTGGTGGCTCTTTTTTATTGGAGCATAAATTAATATTTAAAAATACAAATGTCTGGTCTTGCACTGTCGCTTCCAAACGAATGAGCCGCACCTGACTGTCTGGACGCACGGATTTTGATTCAAATTCCAAGGAGTTTTTAACCAAGAAGAACACCCTACTTTGCTCAGAGCCATGGGGAAAAACATGTCACCTTCCATTGCATTTTCCAACTACCGATTTAGTTCTGACATATATTCAATTCTGAGCTTTGATATTGTGGTATCAACTTGAAAGACATGACATAAAAATAGTTAAAAGTAGTCCTCAGTATTAAGACATAAAATAAACGACATACTTAGAATAAAATTTCTTCACTTTTTTTTTCCTCTTTTAAGCTTCTCATTTTCTCTGCCCTGTTTGCTCTGTTGTTTTTCATTGCTTCTGGTCTCATGACTGAAATCTTGAAAGAAGTGCACGACGCACGATTGCACATGTTTCCTCCGTTTAAAAAATTCGCTGACCTTCTTCAGGCGTCAGTGGTAAGTATCCCAAAATATGTCACGTTTTTACTCGAATAAGCACCGCCCACGATTAAGCGCCGATTAAGACATTTGAAGCATTCTGTTCTTTTAATACGGGAAATATTAATACCGTAGTTAATACAATTTTTTGCCGCGTCCAACTTCAATATAAACGCCACCCTCAAATAAAGGCCGCAGTCGAGACTGAAAATTTAATAATTGCCGCGGTGCTTGTATTATTATTATTATTATTATTATTATTATTATTATTATTATTATTATTATTATTCAAACTTGTATCTGGGACTTACAGTCCCTCCCCCCCCCCTCCCTGGATGGGGACTGAGTTCTTCACCCAAGTAATGCTGATGACTAGGTTTAGGACAAAAGAAAACTACTTTCTTTTTGTATCGGTCAACAACTCTGCTTTTCATCCCTGGTTACGTCAATTACTACCGTCTCTGCTGTTCCTCTAAAAAAATTAAGACCTTAGTTAGGAGTCCCACTTCAGATAAAATCAGACAGAAGGGCCAAATATACTTATACCTTGTCTAGTGGCCCGCCCCTTGTAGGCATGTAATAACGCAATCCCCACCTCCCTCCCCACCCGGGTGCGGTGATTGATAAATTGGTCATAAAAAGATTGGTTTAGTTTAATTTGGACACTAAGAGTGCAAAATATATTCACACCGACCAAAGACAGCTGAAGTGATAGTTGGAATCTTTAAATCTTTTAATCTCTCATTAAATCGTCAACTAAGGGCTTAACGTTCGACATTATATACGACGTAGGGATAGCGGATACCAGCGGGTATCAGGATACAGAGAAGCTCACTGGAACCCTTTCCTTTTTCTTGCCCTTCTTCAGGTGTCGTTGAGTCAAATGTGTAAGCAGAGATGACAACACCAGGGGAGGGAAGAAGAGTAAGGTGCTCATTGGATTTAAAAGTGCGATTTTATCTTCAATATTTTCTGGGGAACCGTTCTTTTTTTTATCATTTCTCCTTTATTTTTCTAGGTATTTGGATTTCTTTCGGGGGTCCTCCTTGCAGTCGATGTTTTCGTCTTTTGCAATAAACGCAAAACTGGAGCTGACTAAGTAGTTAAGATGCAGCTTGCTTTTCATAAACCTGTTAATTTAATAATCTATGACTAACCTGCACAGTTTTTTAAGAGGTTTTTTTCCCCGCAAATTTGTTTCAAAGCCAGACCAATGAGGTTTAGCCTGAGAAAATAAGCCGATGTTTTGCGACCCCGGCCACCCGACTGTTTCACGAAATGCGCGTCGCAAAATGTCGGCACTTTTCTCAGGCTCGAGGGTAGGTCGTGTGGCAAAAGAAAATAAAAAATATATATATATCAGCAAGTCCACAGCGATAAATCGTTGAGTGGTGCCGGGTCTCCCAGTTGTGATCAGTACAAAATCATAACGCGGCAAATTGATCCTTACGGAGGGGTGATGAAGAAGTAAAGGAAAGAATAAAACAAAAAATATATAGTTTCAACCCCTGAAGAAGGTTTGTTTTCAAACTGAAATATTGGGCAAATTTGTTAAAAATATATATGTTTTGTACTTGTCATCGCCTTGCGGTAAGGATCAGTTTGCCGTTTTATGATTTTTAGAGAAAGAAACTCGGTCTTGCTGCTAGTATAGCTTACTCGTAACGCCATTCTAAGAAAGAAGCTTCGGAAGATGAAGTCTTCATCACAGTTTCAGTGTTTTGCGCCTAAAGAAATTCAGAGGCTATATCCGCCAATCCGATGTTCAGCCGATAGTACCAATTGAATGCTGAACATTTTCACTTCGAAGTTACGTCATGATCAGAGCTTCTGAGGTCATCACTGGTTACCAAGCCTAGATAGCATAGTGTAATTTGGTTTGTGAATTTTCTTTCTCAGTTAGTAGAGAAAACTTTCATTGACTTGAGAGAATTTTTTTTAAAGTTTCTAAAAACAGCAAGGTCAATACTATTGTCCTTTGTCCATCGTAGCTTGAGAGAAATAACACTCAAACTGCGGTGACCTGAACATCAGGAAAAAACTGTAGCATGAAAAATAAACAGAATAAATATAACTTGTTGCGGAATTCTTTTAACCCCGCTCCGCTGGTTCAAACAAATCAAGAGGACTGTATTTTTCGATGTAACAACACGATTTCATGCAATCCAACAATCTACTGCAATGTACAATTCTCACATATTCAACGTTCGTAAGACTACGATCAACGTAACTAAACGATCAACGATCAACGATCAACTAAAACATTCTAAGTATACACAGGAGCCGATTAATCGGCTCCTGGTATACAGTGGTTTTTCTACTATCCTTGCGTAAGGCAGTATTTTTACATTAATCACATGTACAGTAAAAGTATCAGTTACATCATTTTATATCGTAAATATACTCGGACTTTGTCTACATTATTGTGAAATCTAATGTCACGAAATCTAACTTCTTTGCGCTACAAATGTCAATTTCTAATTAATATTTAATCACAAAATAATAAAGTTAAGCATCACCTATTTCTTTCGCGACATAACTTTTAACTTCTTATGCTTCAACATACATCTTCAGGAGTAACCGTTAATAGAAGTAACAACAAAAAATAAAAATTAGATAAGTAACTAATCAATAGGAAATTAGAAACAATAATCTGCTAGTTTTTCTTGAGCAACGTCATTTCATGAAAGGTAAATTTGTATCGTCGAACACTTGGTCCATCTTGCAGTCAAACTAGTTCCAAAAGGTCTTCTAGCCCCTCGCGAGATTCCTCCAAGCGCGTGTGTTTGCTACAAGGCCAAACATTTTCTAGCTAAACAAAACGCGTCTAAACATGAGAAAAATAATTTTTCACACTTCCACTGTGATAACCGCTCGCAGTGCACTTTACGTACATTAACTGGAGAGCTGATACAAGGATAATTTTGGGTGTTTAGATACTAAATAAACGCTACCGAAATAAATAAACCCTCACTTTAAATGTATCGATGCATTTGGAGAATATACCTTTACAATGGGTGATACTAAACGGTTTTGAAAGAGACCCCTCCCCCACCCCCCATTTTGCTCATTCTCTCTTGTCATGGCTGATTCGATAGAAACCCTTTGGCTCATCGATTTATATTGTTTAAGGTTCCTTGTTAACCACGGGATCAGCTGTAGCAAAGTATTTACTGTTATTGGGAAGAACGTTACGAAGCCTCAATTCTGGTGCCCATGAACCGTTTTTTTTAGCGTGGGGGGAGGAGTCAGAAGGAGTTATGATCCTAAAATTTATGGTGTTACGATTTACAGAGAATAGGCCTTTTTTAAAATTATTTCATCGGGTATCAAAGTTAATTATGTTTAAATTTCCGTTGTCCACTCGTTCTTTGTCTTTTCCTCTTTTATGTTAAGATTATTTTTCAAGATAAATAAGAAAAACTCTTAACATCGCCCAGAATCACGCGACATATCCGGGAACTTTAAGCGCACTCCAAGCGCCAAATTTGAAACGATGTTATAATAACTCCTCTAGTGGGTGAGTGGAGTTGTTTTTTAGGTAGTTATTTTAACTCCAAAAAGGAGTTTAAAGAACTCTCTTCAGGAGTAAAAGCGACCCCAGATATTGAGAAGTTAAAATAACCCCAAAAAAGGAGTTGTCCGGTACCTAAAATTTTTACTCCAATTTCAGAGTAAAATTAACTCCAAAAAGAGTAAAAACAACTCATGTAAGAAGCAAAAATAACCCAATTTCGTCCGATTTGAATAAATGAATAAATAGTATTTACTTTATCGTTGCAGGAGTGTTTTTTTTTGGCGGTCATTTTGAATTTTGTTGTCAGCTGCTGCGAGGTCTGGGACCGAGAAATTTGGGTGGTAGGTAGCGGGTGGCAAGTGCCGTGCGGCGAGTGGCGGGCGGCGGGCGGCAGGCTTTTGGGTTCCCATTATGTCAACGGAGCGCTTTTCATGCCGACTGGAAAACAAAACCCGGTAAATATATAGGCATATTTTTATCCCCTAAAAATTTTTCTATCTTTTCGAGTGATCCGGAAAATTATAGGGGTCAAAACTTACCTTTTCGAAAATTTCAGACAGAAAAAAGGCCCCCGAAAATTCTAGGTGACCTTTTTAGTNGGACCGAGAAATTTGGGTGGTAGGTAGCGGGTGGCAAGTGCCGTGCGGCGAGTGGCGGGCGGCGGGCGGCAGGCTTTTGGGTTCCCATTATATCAACGGAGCGCTTTTCATGCCGACTGGAAAACAAAACCCGGTAGATATATAGGCATATTTTTATCCCCTAAAAATTTTTCTATCTTTTCGAGTGATCCGGAAAATTATAGGGGTCAAAACTTACCTTTTCGAAAATTTCAGACAGAAAAAAGGCCCCCGAAAATTCTAGGTGACCTTTTTAGTGTAAAAATCCGTTAAAAATGGGCAATTATACCATTTTTTAGATGTTCGAAAATCCTAGGAGAGGCGGGCAAGCAAGAAATTTTACATCAGATGTTCCGAAAACTCTAGATCTCAAATCGTCTTCCGAACAGATATTTTCCAAAAATTGACTTTAGGTGCCCCTGAACAATCATTTGATTTTCCACTTCCTCTTTGTTTGTTTGTTTTTTTTTTGCCGTGACTAATGTCACACAAATCTGTCGCAAATTGCGTCAATTCGGTTGCTGTATTGTTTAAATGTAAACGTGGTTTAAGTGAGTCGGGTTGGGCTAAGCGAGTTGCCACCCTTTTAATTTCCACTATATATAAACTAAGTGTATGTTAAATATTATTTTGCCCTTCAAGACGCGTGGTCAGTGTAACTTATTTCTCAGTGTGTGAAGACCAGTCACAATTTTGAGAAGTGTGTGTTTATCGCCCAAAAAGAGCGGAGAAGATAGAATCCAGCTAAAAGGTAAGCTCCAGTCATGCATTGTGGAGAGAAGTATTTTCTTGCGTATTTTCT